GAATCACAGAGTAGAAAATCACTCACTGCTCATAACAATAAGTCAATTGGCGCCATACAAATAACGATCGATTGCTATTGGTGGATTGACTGCTTTTATCTGGTGTGAAGCCTTATCTTCAACATATTTTGTATTCATTGTGAAAGGCTATTTTCTCAAAAATTATACGGCTCTACTTGATGCTTCTCTGTTTTGTTAATCTTCTTCTCTTTGTCATATTCACTGATTTTTTGTTCAAACTCTCAAGTCTAAGATTATCTTCTCGTCTGACCATGAAGGTTATATAAGAAGATTTGTTAAAGTTGTGATGATGTGATTTAAATTGCGGATGTGTAATTCAAAAGATGCTCTGTGTCTGATCAGTATAATAAATGAAATGACTGTTATTAAGTAATAAAAGGTTAAAATAAGGTCACCTTGTATGGGAGGAATTATTAACACTGCATGTAATGTTGAAGGGCAACTTTCAAATCCTCAAATTCAAAGTTGCAAAAGTTAGATGGGCAGAAGGCGGTGGTTTTCCTGATAACACAAATAAGGAACCAGGAACTCTCTAAACCTCTGGGAACACCCCCCCCCCCCTTTTTTTTGAGTCTAAACAAAACCACTCACCACTTCATGAGCATTGTGTGATTAAGTTCTGCCTTCTTTCTCAGAATCATTTACATGATTTCAGACTTCTGAGAATAAAGGAAGGATTGAATTGCACAAATGATTAGTCACTGTGGCCAAACATTCATTTGATGACTGATGCACTGTAGGTGAAGCATGAATTAATCTGATGCCTGTCCGCAGTCCGCTGTCCGCTGTCCGCAGTCCGCTGTCCGCTGTCTGCAGTCTGCTGTCCGCTGCTGTCTGCTGTCTGCAGTCTGCAGTCTGCTGTCTGCTGTCTGCTGTCTGCTGTCTGCAGTCTGCAGTCTGCTGTCTGCAGTCTGCTGTCTGCTGTCTGCTGTCTGCTGCTGTCTGCTGTCTGCAGTCTGCTGTCTGCTGTCTGCAGTCTGCTGTCTGCAGTCTGCTGTCTGCTGTCTGCTGTCTGCTGTCTGCTGTCTGCAGTCTGCTGTCCGCTGCTGTCTGCTGTCTGCAGTCTGCAGTCTGCTGTCTGCTGTCTGCTGTCTGCAGTCTGCTGTCCGCTGCTGTCTGCTGTCTGCTGTCTGCTGTCTGCAGTCTGCTGTCCGCTGCTGTCTGCTGTCTGCTGTCTGCAGTCTGCTGTCTGCTGTCTGCTGTCTGCTGTCTGCAGTCTGCAGTCTGCTGTCTGCAGTCTGCTGTCTGCTGTCTGCAGTCTGCTGTCTGCTGTCTGCAGTCTGCAGTCTGCTGTCTGCTGTCTGCAGTCTGCTGTCTGCTGTCTGCAGTCTGCAGTCTGCAGTCTGCTGTCTGTGTTGTTGATAAATGAACTTTTGTTGTTTGGAGAAATGAAGAGACAAACACACACATACACACTCAACCCCCCTTCAATCACAGACACAAACAAATTCTCAAATGTGTTGCATCAGTTCATTGGTTAGCTGATGACGTCATGTCCCTGGCCTTCTGCTTCTGCTGCTGTCACTTTCTGCTTGTTTTGACACTAAACACATCTGGACAAGATTGGAACATTTCTGAAATTCTCTCAATTTCTGCCTTTGTTGTGTTTTTCTTTTAAGCCCTGACTATATTCTGAGGCTGAGATCCAAGGATTTATGAGGAAATGCTAATTGTGGTTGTTTGGCTATAAACCGGATAGTAAAAATAAACTGCAATATTTCCTTCTCCATATGTCTGTTTCACATTTCTTCTCTGCCTGGAGGATTTGTTTCCAAACGCTGCACTCGCTTTCTTTGTCTTTTATCTATTAGGGCCTGATTGTACCAGTAAAAGAAGAACACAAAGGTTTAGCAGGTAAATTAATTCTCTTTATGAGCCAAAATGAGGTCAGTGAAAATGTTCTCCCTTCCTAATTTAGGTCATGTAAGAAAAAGTATTTTATCATTTGGACTTTGGGCAATTTTTAACTATCACTTGTGTTTTCTTCAAAGATTGGAAATTGATCTCAGTGGTGATTCTAGCATCTGCCGGGGCCGCAAGCAAAAATACACCCCCTCCCCCCCCCAAAAAAAAAACAGTATTAATCACCATTATGTCATAAATAATCTGACACCTACACAAAAATTGTGACATTTGAATTTAGTTTTTTAACTTCCAAAGATATAATTAGTATTATTTTCTTAATATTAATATTAGATAGAGTTGATATAGATGATGACAGTATCATAAAGAACATTCAAAACCTTAATTTTCTCTCTGTGACTTCCATTGACAAACTTTGGTTTTCACAGCTATGAAGCATGTGACACTTAGCAGCACAACAAGAGTGAATTGCTGTCTGACGGGGCCTCTTCAGAGAGGTTTTCTAATGTAGCAGACTTTGAACATTTTGAGCCATCACTTTGGTTTTAAGTTTTTTTTTAGCCCTCAGGGGCCCCCTACTGGACAAGGGCCCTAAACAGTTCCCTGCCTTGCCTGTTGACAAGCAGCACCTCCGATAAATCTCCATACTTATGTATGCCATTGTTTCTACAGCTCTCGTAGTTGTTTGTCTTAAGTCATCTAGTTGTAGAGTTGTTTTTCTATGCACACACTCTATCATTATCTTCTGTGACAAAGGTCACACTGCTGCGTGACTCCAGGCTCTGGCTTGCCCACTGGACCACACCACATCGAGACGTCAGATGATTTGTTTGGGGGAAAAAAAGGATTTTGTTACTGCATTAAAGTGCAATGTGCTCCCTGAGGGGTTATTATTTAGCCAGCTGTTACAGACAGGAGAAGACTCTCTATGAGCTGCATCACACACGCAGATTCATCCTGGGAGAGATGTCCTCCACATGTGGGTTCTCCTCAAGGGAATTACAATGACACAAACTTTTTCTTTGTTCTGAGCAGGCCTGTAATAAAACAAATGTAAAATTAACTGTAAAGTTGTTTTCACACATCACATGCATCCTTAAAAATGTCTAAAACGTTTCAGGAGCGCCTGCATCTGAAATCTCCCTTAGTCATTTTGATAGTGTCCCACGTAAATAAAAAAGTGGAAGGCTGACAAAGCTGCAGAATCCAACACTATAATTAATAACAGTTTATATTAGTGTTGTCTTTATATCGATGCTAAGTGGAATTGGACACATTCACAATATCAGCGAACGAGTGGAAAAGAACACAGTGGCTGTCAGATATGCAGCTGCTTTATTACGTGCACAACAATCACACAGGTGATGTGATAAACCCACAATCACCCCCTCACTCACTCACTGTAAATTTCCTGAATATTTCCTGCTGACCACCTTATAGCTCTCACCGACATCATGTTGAAATCTTACTAGGAGCTTGGACGTAAAGAAAGTCAGGCTGAAGTCGAGGTGAAAAAAAATCTGTGCTTCACATTCACACATGAGGCTCACCCTAAAAATTGAGGACATTTTCAGGAGTTTTGTGCATGACTGAAACTAAAAAAACAAATCTTTAACAACCCATCATTTTAAAAGATCACACTAGGTTTTCATTTAAAAGGATTGTGTTGTAATACATAATGGATGTTAAACTAAAGTTCAGTCTCTTATAGAGATGTTTTATAAAATGTGCTTGACTGGACAACACTCGTTATAGAACTGTTTTTTTCCAATCAGCAATTTACCTTCATGCTTGTGTTTATATTTCCATTGTTTAACTGTTGCAGCTGCTTACACATTTATCCTTCACACTCTCATACAACAACAAAAACACAGATTCAAACAAGTGTTATAAATAATATATAAATGAACTGCAGGAGTCTGATGGAGTTTTTCATTCATCTAATGGCTAATTCACTCAAAGTGGATTCCAATTTTTGAAAATCATATATGATCAGCTTCATGCATTTGAGTAGATTTATGTTTTTATTAAGCTGTAACCCAAAAATACCGAAAATAGACTTAGAGTCAACACTCAGAAAAAAAGTCAATTTGTCTAATTTCTTCACAGTGAATGTTTCAGCACATTTTAATCTCTTATTCACCTCTATACTTGCATTTATAATTTTTGAATTAATGCATTTTCTAACTTATTCGTCCTCATTACAGAAACAAACATGAGTACATCCGTTTAAAGCCATCAGTCTATATATGTGAACTTGAAATATCGCCCACGTGAACCATTCATGAAGTCTGAAAAAAACACACACGGTGTAGTAACATGTGGATGTGGGCCTGTTTTAATGAAGCATGCAGGGCCTTTGTCAGACATGATGTGGAAGAAATCACACACACACACACACACACACACACACACACACACACACACACACACACACACACACACACACACGAAAAATCAATTACCCGAGGAGAAAGACATGAGACACGTCCTCGCGTTTTGACATTCAGTCTGCATTTATTTATCGATGCCAGCCGATCGACAAAAGTGAAATAAATGCAGTTAAGTGATATATTTCATTTTATTTATCAATATATTTTACTTTTTCAAGTAAATAAGAAGCACTTTTGCATCGCTAATGTCTCTATCTGTTGACATATTACCGCTTCAAAATAAAACGTTTTGTCGTCATTATTGTTCGAGGCCTTTAAATGTATTTCACACAAATTATTATGTTTTTATGACAAAGCCTCTAGCTGTTGTTGTTGTTTTATCAGTTTGGGTAAGCTATGTTAGGAACATTAAATATATTTTAATCGAGTGCGCACAAGTATTTGAAGTTAGTAGCTCAATATAGCTGAAGTCTCGTCTTAAAATTCTTTGAAAAAAAATTAATTTAAGGGCTAAAATATTAAATGACAATTGTATGTTGCGCTAACATAATCTACTTGATAGTGTTCATGATACCTGCCTACTTAATTAAAATTACACTGACAGAGAGTCTGTAAAATCCATCCCGTTTTATTTTTTTTTTTAAACATACACTGCATTCTTCATCTTTAGTGTGTAAAATGTCGATTATCCAAAAAAGAAGAAATAGATCCGGTAAAACAAACAACTTAATTTTGAGGCCCGTTTTGCAGCTCAGGCCATCCTTATTTATTTATTTATTTATTTTTAAAATGTGAAATTTCACGGATTAGGCCTACGTTTATTTTCCAGCTGAGTCGCAAAACAGGACAGACGATAATTATTGAATTGAATAAGATGACATCTTTATGACCCCAGCAGGGAAACTGAACAAATGAGAAACGGGGTAGTTGGGTATCAATCCGCGCAGAGAGACAGGAGACATGAGCGAGGAGTTTGGAGCTAAAGATGGCGCAGCGGCGCAGCGTCCTGACTGCATATGTTCGAAAGTCACACATGATGGGAAGTCTTTGGAGAGGAGCGAGGAGAGCGCGGGGATTATGCTGCTTACAGGTGGCATGCTGGGCGGAGTGTGGAGGCTTAAACGACCACTTATACCCAGGTCCGGGTATAAATCAGCACCCTGGAGACAAGAATTAATCCTTTGAGGTCCGAGTGAAGGAAACACGGGCATCAGGCTGCGCTCCTGCAGCGTGGAGTCCTTTGACGCTCCCAAATAGAAGTGCTGCCTCTTGAAGCGCTTCCTCCGCCGGAGAAAACTCCCGTTTTCAAACATATCCGCGGACATGGGGTCCAGTGTCCAATAATTCCCTTTGCCAGGGTTTCCAGGCTCGCGGGGCATCTTGACAAAGCAGTCATTCAGAGACAAGTTGTGGCGGATGGAGTTTTGCCACGCGGGAAACTTTTCCCGATAATAAGCAAAGCGCAGGCTGATAAAATCACAGATCTCACTCAGGGTGAGTCTCCTCTTCGGGCTCTGGAGGATGGCCATGGTGATGAGAGCGATGTATGAGTACGGGGGCTTCACCGAGGCGGTTCTGCTGCTGGGGCCATCCAGTAACCGGACAGCAACGTCTCCCCCCTCCCGGTCTGAAGGGATACAGGATGAAGCGCTTTGCTTTAAGTCTGCATTGTTCTTCCTGAACTCTGAGAAATCTGCGTTCGTCTCCTCCGCATCAAAGTGCGTCTGTCCCTCAACGTCAATGTCCGGCTCGTCCATGAGTTCTCTTACCAGGGTCATAGGTCAGTGTCCGATCCCCAGCAGGCCGTAATCTCGCCTGTCAGGGACACTACAGGCGCAGACGACCCCCTTCTCGTCTTTCATTCACAAAAAAACCTGCGCATCTGAATGCATCTGTGACTCTTCAGAACTCCCAGTCGAAACTTTCTCCACCTCCTCCTCCTCCTCCTGCTGCTGCTGCTGCTGCTGCTGCTGCAGTCTGTCTTCATCAAAACAGAAACGTGTTTCACAGCCGATATTCAAATGGTTAAATGATTGGCTCTGGATTGTTGTTTTTATTTGCATGTTTTTATCAACATGGCATGCAAACAGAGCTGCTTTCACTACAGATCATTTTCAAACCCAGAGTTTCTTTTGTTTGATTTGAACTTTATTTCTGTTTCTATTCATGTTTTATTGTAGGCTCTGTATGAAATACATCTGGTGTGTATTTATTGTTTTTCAATGTTTCAAGTTATTTATGATTGTTCAAAAAAGTATATAGATTCTGTACGTTGGTATAAAAAGCAATACCAGACTGTTTAAAGTTTTTGAGTCGGCCTATTTACTTCATCCTAAATTCAGGGTTTTTCTTTTAGTATTGTGGAGACACTTTAAACTTCCAATACTAATGGGAGGGTTTAATCTGCAGTTTATCACATTTTAAAAGCTGATCTAAAGGGTTATGTGTAAAAAACACAGGAACAAAAAGCAGAAGGCTAACTTGATCGAGCGAAGAAATCTTAATTAAATAAGTGAGTTAAAAGTTAGAGTTCTGCTCGTGTGATGTGGAGGAAAAGAAGTTTAAAGCAGCAAATCATGAAAACACTCAAAAGTACAAGTACCACTGAAATCTAGCAGAGTAAACAGCAACTCCCCAATAACTGCAATTTAAATCTTTTAATGACCAACACAGGTGAAACCTTTGTTTTTCTTCTCCACATTGATATATGACTGATATGATATTGAAGCGAGCTCTTTCCTTTTATTGAGCTCATTTCTATCTTTAATGTTCTTGGCTCAGTCAGCGCTCATTTCCCTCGCTGTTCCTTATTGCCAGATGGTTTGCAAAATGGCGAGAGAGGTAAATCTCTCCATAGCTGGCTGTTTCAAATAAGAGGAAGACGTAATCCGTTTTGAAATAATAGCTGCACTGTATCAACTCGTGAGGGAGGCCACCCACTTGGCGACCGGTGCCTGTGCTGCAGGGTGGGCCGAGGGAACCGCGGGAAGTCGCATTAATGAACCGTTCCCCCCCGTACCTCTCCAAATAGTTTAATGTGATTCGTATATGGCTCTAATATTACATTATTTTACAGTTATTGCGTTTTAAGTCGTGGCTCTATATCAAGTGCATGCCTTACTTATGCACATAAAAAACAACTAGGAAACAAATTGATTTATACAGAATTTAATAAACATCAAACCCATGAAAAACCCACACAAATTAAGTTTTTTCTTCTCACAAAAAAACCAAAAAAACAGCCACGCTTGAGAGATTAATGAACAGATTCAAGCAACAACAAAAAAAGCTTCAAAACAGCGACAAAGACAACAAACAATAAATAACTTAATTAAACTTTGGGAACTTAATGTGTATCTACTGAACTTAGCAGACAGTCACGCTGTCACAGTCAAGACAAATAAATTGGTACATTTAGCAGTGAACACGGCGCTGTGCTCGGGATGGTGTTTTTTGGGTCCTGGACTGAAATGATTTACACTCACAGACATCTGGCACCGCAGAGCATTATAAACAAGAAACACTGAAGATATTTGATGAAAAATGAATAAACTGTCCCCAGAGTGTGCATATTTCTAATATAATCTCTTCAGCCTGCCGCACCTTTGGGAACGTCTTTCAGCTCTGCTACTAATATGTGTCCCTCTTTGTGTAGGGGGAAAACAAACATACCAGTGATTTAAATTCTGTCACATAGTGCTACACAGGTTGGCAGGTAGCACTGACAGGACCAGTGTGGTAAAGATTGAAGTCCAACCTATTTTTGAAGTATTTTCAGGAGCTCTCCTTTTACATGTTTGTTTTGTCCCTTGATGTATGAGAGCAGCAACGTGCCAAAGAGAATTATTAATGTTGCTCTGCCACTCAAAGATTATTAACACTTTTTCTAGTCAGACGTGATGTGAAAAGCGAGTGCTGCTATTCCACAGCCGTTTTCACATATTCAGTCATGAACATTTCTAGATAATTTCAGGCAGACTGCTTCTGAAACTGTTTGTTCACACACGCATCTCACAGCAGGAGACTACCCCTGTCAGACGGGATTGGGGAAGTGTGTCTCAGGATGCAAGACGTGAAGTAAAAAGAAGTGGTGGATGACGCAGCAGAGTCCGCTACATGACCGCTGTAATGGCAAGTTCTGCATTTATATAATTTTTTAATACAGAGCATACCAGCAAACAGGAAACATAATGAGAGTGTGATATTATGTGCACAGAGATTGTCTGGTCCCGTGCATATAGTCTATGTTCATGCGTCGTTTGCAGGATATGAAACTCACCAAGCTTGAGGAGAATTATTCTAAATATTTTCGACTGCGTTCTCACATGAGCTCGCCCGACTTCCCGGGGGAAAACTTACCAGGGAGCTGGCAGTGAAAATGTAGCCGTTTGCGTTCACACATGCAGCTTACCCTGAAAAACTTCAGGAGGTTTTATGGAATTTTGTGCATGTGTGACTAAGGCTAATATTTGTTAATTGTAGAGGACCCCGAGTGAGTGTCGTCTTGAATTGTTGTCTTGTGTGCGTGTTTGTTTGTGTGAATAGCTCTGTCACACGTGGACATAAAAACCTCTGCTCCTTGCATGTTCCCTAGGCAGAGTGTTTCCGCTGAGCTGAGGTCAGCTTCACAAAGTTTCCACACTTGGGGCAGCATGAGTTGGAGTTGCTCTCTTTCCTGGGGATATGCCAGCAGTTGACACAGCGCACTCTGTACTTCTTATACCTGCAAACATCAGGAAAGGAAAATCAAGTTGTGATTTCACTTAGGTGCATATTTAAGAAGGACATTTAGGATCTCGACTTTAAGATCACTGCAACATTAATTCAGTGTGGCATCATGATCTGTGTTATCGCTGCAGGCAAAGATTATAAAAAAAATATATACTGTATATTTACAGTTTGAGAATCTCCTTAGTTGTAAAGTTTGTATCAGATACTGAATACACATAATAACTTATCTTAACTTTGATAGATCTCTTCAAGTTATTTTTTACATTTTACAAATTCAACATAACATTTGATGAACCTACCTACAAATGAAAAACTCATTGTTGTGGTTCTAAACTGAGACTGGTTTTAACAGACTGTAAATATTAATGGGCGGAGCCTGAGTGACGTCAGCCATCTGTTCCTGCAGGGAGCTCTGAAAACGCATTGCCAGCAGCAGCCGCCATGCTGGAAATCCTGTCTCAACCTAACTTTCAGTCAACCTAATGACAGACTGAGAGCTGAGGCGATTTTAAGCCTCTTGACAAACCTTATTTTATATTTTACATTTTTAAATTCTATTTTATATATTGTAATAGCTTCTTATACTGTATTATTTAAGTTGTTGTTAGTTCTGCTTTATTTCCTTGTAAATTGTTTAGCACCAATACACCAAGTCAAATTCTTTGGATGTGTAAATGTACTTGGCAATAAAACGAGATTCTGATCCTGATCGCACCCACCTGTCAATCATGTCAGCTGCACTCCTAACTATGGATAACATGTATCGTTTTCAAAATCAAAAGGGAGCAGTTTTTTAAAGAATCATCCCCTGCACAGTGTGTGCCAGTGACGATAATAATCCAACCTATTTTGTTTTTTGTACAAGGCTGTAAACATGTTTATTTATGCTGTAACAACTGCTTTTTAGCCTGTCATGTTTATGTGACTTCCGGTGTTCCTGGATCCAGCCTCAAGCAGACACTTGATGAACTGCAGGATTTTGCACTCCCACATCGGCTTCATTTTTTGAGACCAGAGGTTGCCGCATACATCGGTATTTACTTGTTCATTAATCTTGATTATGACATATGGAGCTAGTCATGTCAGTATTAAGCACTTGCCATGCTGTGTCTTAATGTTACAAACTATACTGAAAATCTAACTCCTAGGAAAACGTCTGGTTTTGAATGTCTGAGTTAAAAGTTAAATGTAAAGCTCCTCATAGTGATCTAAATATTAGCTCTTTGATGCAGCTTCATATTTTTGTTTTAAAAATCAAAATCAACAGCGAGCAGTGATGATGTCCGCTACCTTATTCCACAAGCATTACAGAGTGGGGTCCCATCTCTGCATCCCTCCACATGGGGGTCTTCCTGGTGCAGCATGATGCACACACTTTACTCTCTGGTAAAACAAAAACACTTTTCAGTATTCAAATAAAAAGAAATGTGATGCAACTGATAGTTTTTTTTTGGAAATAATTTAAACTACATTTCAGTCATAAGATGAATGTATTAGCCAGACCTTAAATAGTATTGTAGTAATATATATTCTGATATGATCTGACTTCAAAGCCTTGTATATGAAGAGAAAAATCACTAACTTTTAAGAACAGCAAGAAATAGGAGAATTGAAAGATACAATAGTTTTAAGATTTAAAACTATACATTCTTAGATAAAGCTCTGAAAACATTAGATAAAACAGGAAACATGTGTTTTGATCTCGTTTATCTATTTAATTGTTTGAGTAAAATGAACATTTTCATTTCATGGTATGAAACATTTCTCCCGACTTCCAAATAAAATATTTTGATTGAGGTATTTTGTTTATATTCCTTCTTTATATTTTCAAACAACAGCATACTTTTGTTTTGACAAGGAAGAAATGATATGATGGAATGATTAAACTATTAATTAATGCTTCTCTCCAATAGTCTTCCACAGTGCTGCTGCTTGATGCTTCTATTGGTTCAAAAATTCAAGCAGCAGCCCGGCTTCGTTCGAAGGCTTCCTCTTGATCTCTTTAAGTAGAATGAGGTGAACCTGTGTTGAACTCAAACAGACGCTGGGAGAGAATGGCTTCCAATGCATGTAGAGGTGCTGATTAAAAAAAAACATTTGTTGTGTTTTTTTTTTATCCAGAGCTGTGTTCTGTGTGTTGAAGTTTCTTGTGAAATCTATGTTGAATCAATCCAAAAATCATGAAAAAGGTTGGATACCTGGTGTAGCGTCGCCTGTAAATGTTTGATCTGTCTGGTCTCTGAATGTTCAGATACAAAACCTCTAATCTTTCTTTAAGACTTAACATACATTTCAAACTGTGACCGTTTGTTATTCAAAACATACGTGTGAGTTATGCTGATAAAAACAAATTTGAGGTGTAATTTCTGACAATGGAAACACGCTGGTGTCAAAAACACAGAGTCAAAGCTCTTCTGTACAGAACAAATATTACATTTTTGTAAATTAAATTATGTTACTTTGTCTTAAGAAACCTTACTGATTCCCATTATCCTCCAAGGGTGTGAATGCAACAGTTTCCCTAAATAAATGTGTTGATGTGGTGCTGCCCTCTAGTGGAGACAAAGGGCATTTTATGCAAAAACATACATCACACAACACTATTTTTGAGCATGTATTTGAATTTCTAAGATTATTGCAAAAATTCATTTGATGTTTATGAAGTTGTGCTGAATGCGTTCCTTTTTGTTGTCTGAAATAGAAGACTGGAGATAGTGTCTGATGTAGGTAAAACTTTTTACATCTCTCTGAAACAAACATATTTTATTCTGGGCGTTCTGCAGTTAAAAATGTAGAATTTTAGTTTAAGAGAGAATCTGAGAACCTCTGAATGACTGACGACCTGTCCAGGGTGTCCAGCCTCTGAGTATCTGTTTAAATTCCCTTACTGTAACTGCACAACTCAAACGTTACTCACTAGAAGAACTGGTTGTAGGGTCGTTCTCCTCATCCGAGCTGCTAGTTTTAAAGAATTTCGGGGCTGTTCGAGTCCTCAGCCTGGGTTTTCTTACACTCTTGCAGAGCTCCTTGCTGTGTTGGGTACACAAAGAAGCAGAAACCAAAAGCATGTTGTGAATTTAGCTTTATTGAAGTTGAAAGGTTAATCACCATCTTTTTTTAAAAATCCAAAGCAAACATGTAAGGAATAAATACCTGTACTTTGAAGTAATGAGGAGCGGCACTGTTCTTTACTGTCGTCTAGCTCTGTGTCCATCCTGAACGTCACGCCCTGGAAGTCTGGGTCTTGGATATCAGCACTCCGACTCGGGTGACGTTGTTTTCTGGGGGTCTTAGTTCTCCACTGCTGTGTAGATGGATGATCAATTTCCTTTTCCTGCACTGGCCCTGATTCCAGCTCAGACGTAACAGAATGTGAGGGGTTTATATGTCCTTTAAAGTTTAAGTTAAGTTGTGCAACTGGAGGGATTTTTTCCTCTACAGGACCATCAACACATTCTGGTTTGGTTGATGTAATTTATCATTTTGGTTTGAGAGTGAGTGAAAATGTTCCGCTGTGACAAATACAAATGATGCTGGTTGTGACGAAGGCAGACAGAGCTCAGCTGGGGCAGCTGGGTGTCAGTCTTGAGTTGTGAAGTCAAAATAAAGTTTGCATTTTGATCCAGTGAAGGAGCTGGCTTTGACAGAGCTGTACTTGTTTCTTCTTTTGAGTTAAAAGGAAGTAAGGCGTCGACAGAAACATTTTCAGTATTCCGTTCAGAAGAGAGACGATCCTTGCACTCCTGGTTCCACCTCAATTGTCTGCTTACACTGAACTTGTCCTCCTTTGTGTCTCTGTGTCGTGGTTGAGAAGATGCTGTTGCATGTTCCTCCCCCTGCTGTGTTGTGAAAGTGTCTGTTTTTTCAGCAGTCTGTGACTGAGCACAGCAGCTCATCTGGGAGTCCTTCACACAGCCCTGTGGTTTACATCTATCAGCTCCACCGCTGCTGACTCCTGTCACATCTTTCCTCCGACTGACACCTGCATGGATTTTTTGCCTCTCAAAGAGAAACGTTTCATGATCTGTTTCATTTGCTATTGCAGCTGATGCATTGTCTATTGCATCGCCCACTTTTGCAACAGATGACACAGAATTTAGGGCTGACTCTCCAACATCACGGGGATTCAGAAGCCTCTCACACTGCAGGTTGATCAGACTCAGTACTTTCCAGGGGCTGTTGCATTCAGGTCGTGGCTCATCCAAATTTGTGACACTGCTGCTGAGGCCTTCCTCTTTCACTTTTTTCACCTGATTAAAAGGCGACAAGCAAGTCAAACTGTGCTGGCAGGAACTATTGGAGATGCTAAACGACTGTGCATCCTCTTCTTCTCTTCTAACAATGAAATGGCCTAGTCTAGAAGTCTCATTTAGCCCTGTGGAAGTTGAGCATGTGTCCAGGAAACTGTTGTGGACGGGGGAACCTAGTTTGGACACCTCTTGGAAAAGGTAGAGGAGTGCTGAGTGGGAGGGGTCACGTTCCAATGCGCTTTGTTTCCCCTGGATGAAGGCAGCTTGTGTCCTTGGCCCTGTGCTCATGTTGAGACAGTATCTACATCAAAGATATAAACATGTGCAGCTTTTAGGCACGAGTTCCTTACCCCGGGGGTCGTGGCCCCCTCAACAGGTTCACTACCAGAAAATCATAAAGCATAAATATAGCTTAGTTTAAGACATGTCTCTGAGCTTTGTTTTTTCTTGACTGGTAAAATATTGTATAGATTGGCAAATGCATATTTTTGCAAATTTAAAGTGATTAAAAACTACTATTCAAATACAGTTTCTACAGCTAAAAGATATGCACCTGTGAGAAGAGATGCTACATATAAAGGGGTAATTAGCCTATATAAGTTTAGAGCCAATATTCTAAGGAGTTAAAACATTATAAATCATGAAAGACAGCACACTTCAAGTTTTTTCTATTTACGACAATAGCTCCCATCAAGGTAATCTTAAAAAACTATGCTTAAGTCACATACAACATGGCCACTGGTAGGTCTAACAATTATGTTTCCTTATGAGGACATCAGTGAGAGGCTATGGAAACATGAGCTTAAGAATCGTTTACTAAAATAAATGTTTGAGTTTGAAATAACCCAGATGAGCTAATGGGAATCTTCTAGTTTATTTGTTTTGATATTTAAAAGCTTGGTGGTTTATTGGTCTTTTTACACCAGTTACAGTATGGCACTTATACTTTATGGTAACATTCATAAAGTATCAATCATGCTCCACTACTTTATGTTTAGATACAGTTAAAAGTCTCCTGACAAACATGTGTAGCCTATTTAAAGCCTCCCTATTGAAGAAGCCTACTAGCACATAAAGTTCACTCTATGACAAGAGATGAAAAGATAAGATAATAAAAAAGTTTTTAAAAAAGTAGTTATTGCTACATATAAAGAGGTCATTATTATAAAGAAATCAAAAGCCACTAGTGTAGAGGCTTAATTGAGAACAAAGCTCCTAAAGGTGAAAGGTGAGGGTACTTGTCAAATACCATAACTAGAACAGATAAACTTATTGGGTATTGTTATGTTTAACAAATATGTTTCATAATTGTGTACAACAAGGCGATTTTAATTTATTAAAAAACATTTACTTCAGAATAGTTTCCATTGGGACCCAATTTAAAATAACCCACAGGAGCTAACAGGAATCATCAAGTGTCATTGTTTTGATAACTTAAAGCCACATCATGGTTTTAGTGGTCATTTTCTCTGAGACCTGCTATGACACGAAGCCAATTTAGTCACTCAAGTATACATCACGAGGTACCGGAACGTCATTAATGTGCAACATATTTAACTTACCGGGAGAAATGTAACAAAAAAAATCGAACCCCGGATGTAGTTTAAAGATGTTCTGGAACACTAAATGTAGCAGTTTCGTTCTAGAACGTCCAACTTTTTGGCGGTTTTTTTTTTTTTTTTGAGTTTGAGTTTGAGGGTCGCGAGCGCAGAAACAGGATGCATGTGTTTTAAAGCAGTAGGCCTATAAATAAGAAAATCTACATTTATTCTGTCATATCACAAGATTGGATTTCACTGAAGGCTAAATGTTTTGGGCCAATCAAAAATATAGATTAAAATAGGTTTCTATATTCATTTCATTTATTCAGTCATTTAATTAGGACAGTGCTCTTTAACAAACATGTAAGCAAATAACATCCATGTGAATAGGCTACACCGGAATTAGCTCAGTTTAGTCCGTAGCCCCACACTAGGGATGCAAAGACGTTTTTTAAGAAACCTGATTTAATATATGAACTCAGCGTGGATTCTGAAGCATAGTTAGTGATGTGAAGATACCTGATCGCCACGGTAGCCATCTGTTGATCACTGATCTTGCATTTCGATCTATTAAGTGGGATTTTACAACTTAATCCTACAGCCGCAATATAACATCAACTTCCCCGTGAATGTCTATTCTGACGTTTGACCTGTCATGGCCCCTAATGCTAACCACCAGTACACATCTGAGTCTTGCAAAGATCAGTTCTAAATATGGTTCACATCAATATGCAATCCAACATGTGGAGCTCAGCCACAGTTAACTTAACCACGCTGTGCACTACTGTTGATGCTCACCTTAGACCTCCAAAACGATCATCAACAAAGTGATCAAGTGTGTCAACTTACTGGGAACTCAAAACTGATCGAGCTGGCTGCTCCGACCAGGAGAGGCGGGGGAGGAGGGGGCGTGTTCTCGACGCAGCGGAGCTGCGCAGGTGTTCTCGGTTTGCTAGATTGGGGACGACCAGACCACTGTTTAGGGTAGGTTGATAAATAATGACATGTATTGCCTTGCACTGAGTGTTTGCAGCTCCTGAGTAAAAAAAAAAAAAAAAAGTGTTAAAAAGTAACTTTTAAAATTGATTTTATTGCACAACTTTAAATAATTTTCAATTTCTATGACATAATACACAATTGACTTACAGTGGTGTGTAAGTTGCACAAGTACAGTAGACATAAGTACAGAGTAGATGGTGGAATAGTCATCACATTGTAACATTTAGCCCACCAGCTTCATAACGGACTCCTCTCCACCTGCTCTCAGTCAAAGCACACCTGAAGCACATCAACTAATCATGGCCCCTAATCACTGGTATGAGAGAGGACGTGCTTTAAAATGTATCCTCCTTCTGATGTTTAACAAATATCACCTGACCATGTTTTGAAATGTTTAAGGTGAAATGTAAGTTTCAATTGTCTAAAATATGATTCTTTAACTTCTAGTGAATTGTTTATATATAAAGTTCTGCTTCTTCTGTGTCCGGCTTCACTTCATGGCTTTAAGAGAACTATCGTCAGCTGGCACATATAGAATAGCCATCACAACAACTACAAGTGAACGAAGGTAAACTATATGCATCCAGTATCTGGCAAGTGAATCAGGGTGACAATGATGGATCGGCAGAAATGGATCAAGAACATCAGTCTGTGATAATTGTGCGTATATGAGCTTTAAGAAAGGAATGTTCCATTGAACAGAAAAAAAAGATCAGCTTTGTTTATGTGCGACGTCTGAAGCCAACGGCATGTCTTTAAAATGGTCTGGAATTTGAACAAGAGCAGCTTGTGATTTTGAATAGTGCTGGCCTGAGCACTGTCCAAAGAATTAAATACACCGTCAGTGATGCCACCCCGCATCTCTTTGGAAGTAACCCCAGACTCGTATAGTGTCTGGCTCTGTCTGATCTCCTCTGCAGGCAGAACCATGTCGTTTGTTTACCGTGGAATTTGTCAGTTTGCGAGGCGTCTTTCAAAGTTGCTACGGACTCTGCTATCCTCGCCGTGCATCTCTTCGTTGTCACCCCTTTACTCAACCAGCACGCGGCGGTGTCTAAGCTCGCAGTGCTCCCCCTTCTCTTTTTTTTTTAATTTTCCAGAATTTCTCATCATCTTCGCCTCTTCTCAGTGAGGTTTGGGAACGTGCCCATCCACGTAGAAGTTCCTGGTGACTTTGGGCATGGTGAGCTCCATGCCGTCCAGCTCTGGCGTGAGAAAGATCTGACATCCCAGTCGGGAGTTCTCCTGAAGCAAGGGAGCCATATCCAGCATGTCGTCCTCCCTAGAGCACCAACATTTCCATCAACAGTCACAGTGGCCTCTACTCAGCTTCATCACGCATGTATGCTGAGGTTCAAATATCGTGGTTATGTAAAAAACACTTCAGCTTAACCTACCTCTCATCAGGTTCTGGCAGTTTGTCAAAATGGTCCGCACTCACATAGACCTGACATGTTGAGCAGGCCAGTGACGCCTCGCAGGCTCCTAAATAAAGTGAAACACAGTAGATGAACAAAAAAAGACTATTTACTCTAAACAATGCTTCAATTAAATTACTGAGAGAGCGCCTTAATGTGCTCACCTTCCAGTTCAATGCCGTGCTTGTGAGCCAGATACAGGACGTTATCTCCCACTTTGGCCTTAATTGGAATCCTCTTGCCGGACCGATCTACGTACACGACATTCACCCTAAACAGAAGAATAATTCAGCTTTGTACACAACCATAGATTTGAACTCATCTGTCAAGGTTTAAAACTGTACATGTAGAGGAACATCATGTTCTGTGTTCAGGAAAGGGCGGGACACAAACATTTTGTTTGTTTGCTGCTGGCATCTGAAGAACCTCCTCAGCTTTTATTGTTTTTACTTCATTTCATTCTTGACAGGTTCAAGGCAAACCCATTTTAAGAAAGAAGTTTTAGAACGCTGTACTGTATGTGTGCAGGTTTGTGATGTTAGTGTGAATACTTTTACAGAGCAATCAATTGCTTCTACTAAATGTGCAAGAAAATGTACACCTGCATTGTTTTTTGTTAACAATAAATAAAAAGTTGGTCGCCCATTAACCTTTTACCAGCATGCTGGATAGTCTTTCCAACTGAGCGCTGAGGGGTGGGGGGATTTAGCATCTCTGTTGAAGCTTCATCCTCACAAAAAGGATTGTTACTTCATATTTTAAATTCAATTTGTCGATTTTGCAAACTGACAAACCGTCAGTGCTTCTCGTTTGTTTGAGCACACACATCTCTTTAACAATAAGGTGAGACTTGATTTAAGCGGTTTAATAAGGAACTGTATTTAGGTCGAATAGCCTTTCACACCTTTTAAAATGCAATCGCTTCCTTGCACACCCCTCTGTGGAATGAGATTAACTTACTTTGCAAACACGGTGTTCACACTATGAAGGGTTTCTTATTTAGACAAGTGACATTTGTTAATATTAATTCCAACACTGTTCAGCATGCATGTGTGTGTAAAGAAAAGAGCAATGTCAGGATGACTGTGCATGAGTGAATTTTAGACAAGTGACATTTGTTAATATTAATTCCAACACTGTTCAGCATGCATGTGTGTGTAAAGAAAAGAGCAATGTCAGGATGACTGTGCATGAGTGAATGTGTTACGTGTGCATAACCCACTGAGGACACTGAAATACTCACACATCCTCCGGGTCTTCTGCGTTGGAGTTCCCTTCCTCACTGTGGTAAAGACCTTTTTTTAAAGAAAAAGGAGCAGAAGCAACAACAATGTGAGTGTTTCTGCTCCAGGTTGTCTTATCAGCTCCTCCGGTATCGCTGTGTGAGTGTTTAACTAGTTGCTCAAAGTTTCATAAGCCCATTTGGGAATGTTTGGACTGATGTTACACAAGTGTTATTGAGCGAGCTCTAGACTCTTAATAACAGCTGATATCCTTCGACATATTGCATGCCAAGCCGAGCAAGCATCAATAAAACTTTAACACCTGCAAAATACAAAGTGTTAGGTATTTCCACTTAATCTGAAGTATTGTAAACAAATAGTCGCAGGAGCATTCTGACACACCGACAGAGGCTAAACGTGTTAGCAGGCTGCACTCCTCACCTATACTCGTCTGCAAGTGTCGATTTATCGTCTTGAAGTTGTCGAGGGAACCCCGTCTTTGAAAGCTGGCCGCGCTGCCCACGCAGCCTTTCAACCTGTAGATGGGACAGGTGCTACAGTCCGGTATAACTCGAGAAAGTCTCAAAGTCAGCCCCATGCTCGACCGGACCGCAGCGGAGGCCGCCATCGTTCTGTTTTGGTCACGTGGACAAAAGTGCCCAATAGGAAAAAAAAAAGCACAGCGAGTGGGATGACGTCACTGCTGTGATGCGTCGCTCTGACAGCAGAGGGCGCTGCTGACAAACGCTGCACAGCGAGCTGCAAAACACGTAAACATGACAAACGCAGACTGCAGATTTATAGTAGTGAATATTCACAACTTCCACTTTAGTGAAAGTTGACATACCACATCGAAAGTGCACTCTTTTTTTTTTTTTTTTAATGGAAGTTCTGTCAACAAATGTAGTTTAAGAATTAAAAGTCAAGTATTCATCATGCAGATGTAAACCTGTCAGTCTTACTGTATATTGCTATGTCAGTAGTATTAATGCTTTATCATGAGAGCTATACTTTAAGATCATAACTTGTGGAAGCTGAACTTATTGATCCTACTTTTTATGTTATTTGTTTTAATCTCCTACAAATAGTTATACCTATAATATCTGGATTTGTACACTAACTAACAGGCTATCTAAATGTAGAGAATGCAATATGCCTCCCTAATTTGGGGTGCAAAATGGACTATAAATAATTAAACTGAAAAGTCAAAATGTATCATGTGAATAAATGAAATCACATCCCACCACAGTGGATTAGGTATTTTATAGTAGAGATTTTATTTTGTAATCGGTCGAAGAAATGACTTTTCCTCAAAGGTGGCGATGCCTCATCTTGGTGAGGGATTTTTATTTTTATTTTATTTCCCAACCTTTTTTTAAAAAAAATGTCAGAGCTGGAAATAATAAACCTTACCACATAAATTCTTTAAAATTCATTCATAGGCTTTCTTACACCTTTCTGTTTCTTTTAATCCATTTATAGGGAAATTAACTGTGAAATATGATCTCCTGTTTATTCATCTTACTGATTTAGTCATAAATATGCTCTCTTAATTTACATCACTTATAATGTTCCCAGTCCATAACTTGTACATATCATATAATAAATGTAAAAATCTCTCACACAAATTTAAACATATATAACCCAGCTCTGTTCCGTTTAAGCCTGAGTCAATTATTCTCGCACTTTGGGAAAACTTTGTTTTAATTGCTTAGTAAAAAAATTTGATTGGACCCTTATGTCTCTGGCTGGGACATTTATTTTCACACACAGTTTAAAGAACCAAAGTACAATAGATCATATTTCCACTAAGCCTCTTTCCTTGTTAAGCTTTATACTCTTCTCTTACAACAGTAAATACATGTTCTGCCTTGTTCTTTGTGTGCTGTAGAGGAGGAGCACTGATCCTGGAGAAAGATATCTGATGCAGGCTGCAAGTGGAAAAGTGAGAGCAGTGGTGTGTGAAGAAGGAAATGTGTTGTAATGACTGGAGGCAGGTGAGTGCGCAGGTGCTCTGCATTCTGTCATGACATCTGCTTGGAGAGACATGCAGTTATCATACAAAAAAACCCTGATATATTAAACATATAATCCCTTTACAGAGTCGTAAAACTCCAACATGAGGAGCATTGTGTTGATAATGAAATGTGATTTATAGGTCGTAGTGACTGATGAGGTCGTCTATGTTTTTAGTTTCTTTTTTATCTTTTCCTCAGTGACTCATAATGATCTGTTCTTTGGGGGACGCCCGCTCATAAAGTGGGTTTAAAGATATCCACCTGGAGCCGTCAGAGCTTAACGTCATACTAACAGCTCTAAAATAAGAAAAGAGGGTCTACTGTTTTTATAGTGTGTGCTGGGAGTCCCCTCACTGGTATATAGATCATTACACATTATATACTCCAAAATCCACATAGAGCAACACAATTACACGTTCATGTATGGACACTCTCACACACACACCTGTACAGGATGATGAGTGTCCAGGGACAGCTTACCTGTGTCTCTGTGAAGTCTATTACTTAATAAATGAGTGGGTCCTGGAGTACTCAGGTCCTGCAGGTGCGTGTGTGCAGGTGTGTGTACGCAGAGGTGTGGTGGGTGGAGGTTGCTGCGCTTGACTTGACTATTAAGTATTCCTTTGCCCTCACTTCTTGTTGACTATGCAGTGCAACAACCCACAGACACACACAGACACACACACAGACACACACACACACACACCACACATTTCTGGCACCGACTTCATACATGGCAGAAAAACCCAAAGCTTAATGATGCATATGTAGGTTATTTTGGTTAGAAAACATTGAGGCTATTTCCTTTAACAGAAAAGTGGTCTTAAAAGGAACCGAACATGTCACAGTTTCTTTAGGAGCTAAGCACCCCGAAAGGTCTGATCCTTAAATCGCCCCTGTTTGTATTGAAAAAAGTTACCATTAGAAACTTGAAGCATTTAGATGTTCCCTTAAGAATAATCCTTATCTTGTTCTGTATAGATTTATTTATTTATTTACCACAAATCCAATGAAAAGCTAACAATGCATGTTTCCTACTAAGATGTACTGTCAGTCCACCCTGAACCTACACATTTCTTTATGTTTGTTGTATTGCGAAAGCACAAATTCATCACTGGGCCCCTGATGCCCTGCGTAACATTTTCTTTATTTTCAGTGAAAAATACACACATGAGAAAACACATGAAGGAAACAAGTTGGCATGTAGCTTGCTGAGTGTGTCATACTGGGGTATCAGAGTCAGAAAGAATAGGGCAGTATAACATATCGATGTTGAGCTAATATTGTTTGTTTTGACTTTAAGTAAAATAAAGAGCAACACAAAGCACCATCTGTGATTCAAGTTCTCTTACTGGTAAGGAAAACAGCAAAATGTCTGTAGATTGAGTTGCTCAGTTTTTCTGAAAAGCTATGAAAATAAGTGCATACATCTTTGTCATGCTTACTCACTGTCTGCATGTAGTCCCCCTATGTCATCATTTCTTTGGCTTTACTGTAAATACATCATCAGTTATGAGGATGTACAATAAGCCATGGGGCTGAATGACAGCAGCTTTTTCAATTGATTTCATGTGAATCACTGCCGTCCTTCTGGGAAAAGTCGTCTCTGAGTTAAACAGATGTTGTGGACGAGTGCTGTTGAGGGACTGAGGAGTTCCTGCAGCAACATTTCCTTTAGAATTTAATTTACAGATGCAACCAAGTGCCCAAATGTGCAAACATTAACAGCTCAAACCTTAACCTTTTTTCCCTTTTTCTAAGAAGTTCCACAGAAGCCAATCTGCTGAGTTTCGCCTCAAAGCGATTCATGGACAGCAGAGCATGTCTTCCCGATCATAACTGTCTGTGTTCTCTTATCTTATCGTATCCTCTTCATATCAATGTTAGAAACTCCTGTTTGTGCATGTGGTTCTGTGCATGTGCATACCTGCAGTCGTGCATTGGAGCAGGCCGTTGTGCAAGCCGCCTCATGACTCCCTCCCCTCAGTTGACTCACACAAACTTCAGAAAGAAACTAATTAGAAACAGGTTGAAGCAAAAAGAAAAAAAAAAAAAGGTGCCCCTATAACCTTTCATGCTCCACCAGTGTGGGAATGCATGTTTCTAAGTCAGACACAAGGGAAACTCACCATCAGTGTGAGTAAACACAGCAGCCTGGGAGCTGGCACTGCTACAGCGTCTTAGTCAAACTCTTGTGATGTTTATGCGTCTGGGACACTTTCTCTCTCATGTGTCATACATCAAATGTAGGATTGTTAAAGGAGTCACCCCGGGGATCCAGTTGGGGTTTGGTTGTTTGTAATTAATGACCTTTTTCACTCACAGCACTAAAACATGCACTGTGGGCCAGCAGTTCTAGTATTTGTTTTAGGTTGAAGTCTGTGGTTTAGTGGTTTCAGTCTGAGTGACTACCGTCCGGCCTGCGCTGTCCGCTGACTGGTGACCTTTGACAACAGATAGAGAAAGGCTGAGGGGAGAGGTCAAAGGCTCAGGGGGGCATCAGGGGACGAAGAATTATGTCGATACAGGCAAACACATCTACAAGTTATGGGTCCATTCCAATGATGTCTGATTTGTTTTCTTAAGTAAAAACACACTTAAACGTATGCACAAAGTCCTGATTTGAAAAGAGATATGCTGGTGATGCATACTGCTCAGATTTATAATGTAAAATGTAATATGCTAAAACAGCAAGACACGATAGGATTTTGCAAACAGTTCATAGCTCGATTTGTTGGATTATTTTAGTTATTTAAACTCAATGCAGCCAAAAATGGATTCAAAGTGGAAGTTGTTCTGTGGTTGTTTTGCAAAAATAAATAAGAAAAGATAAGACTATTGTAAGTTTCTTACTGTAAATATATCCCCCCAATAGCCTTATCTCAGTATGTTGCCCACACCACAACCCCTTCTTTCTCACAGAAGATTTAAATCCACCTGAAAATGTTATCATTCAGTTACTCAAACAGGAAACTTCAGAACTTCGGCAGAATAATTTATTTGATGTGGTGATGTCCTGTATACTTTTAAAGAGAAGGCAGTCCTTGTCAACTGTTTCTGTGTTAAAGTCAATAAAGTAGCATGTCACCCCTTGAACAGTTGTGGTTAACTTTTTGGAGGTGTTATGGAGTTGTTTTTTTTCATTTACCGATAATTGACCTCTAACAGGATGTGGCTAGAGATGTTAGTACTTATTTTTACTTCATTTGGTTTGTTTCCTCTTCATTGGAATTGATGATAAAAGGCCTATAACATCACTAACCCTAATAATTAAAAAATATGACTCACCAATATGAGTCATATTATGACATATGCATTATGCCAAAACTCCCCCACTCTCCCTCTTTCTCTGTCAGAGCTCTACAGTGACACACCAGTCTGTCAGTTAACCACTGGTCACCAGGGGAACATCAACATTCTAGAACTTGGAGCATTACCCTGTAGGAGTACACTGTTGTCATGGCAGCAGAGTGATTGATAGTCTCCATGGGGAAGGAGAGAGCTACTGCAGGCTCCCCCCCCCCCTCTGTTGTGTTGACAGCAGGTAAAAGATCACTTCTACTGGGATGAAGAGGGCGAGTGTGTTAGCTCACGTGTGGACAAAACAAAGAGTCAAAAAGGG